TAGTGGAAGGTCAACCTATAGATAAACAAAACATGATGGAGACTCCAGAATTAGACTCATACAATTGTTTATAGACACAGGTGCCAAGATAATACAATGGAGGAAGGATAGTCTTTTTGATATATATAGTACTGGGACACTCTATAAAGAGATGAAGATTAATGTTGACCCATTCCTCACTTCACTTATCAAAATTAACTAGGAATGCATACTAGACCTAAAGTCACAACCCAAAACTATAAAATTTCTAGAAGAAAACATAGAAAAAATATTACTGTCATCTTAGGCAAGGCAAATATTTCTTACAATACACAAAAAGCAGAAAACATAAAAGAAAAAAAACCTGATAATTTTGATTTAAACAAACTTCTGCTGCTCAAAAAATGATGTTAAAAGAAAAGACACCAACCGAGAAAAAGATATTTGCAAAACACATATTTGGTAACAGATTTGTATTCAGAACTCTTGTACACAGAACTCTCATAACTGAATATTAATAATAATAATGACAAACCAAATAAAAATGAGGCAAATGATTAGAACACTTAAACTTTTAATAGATATTTTCTGTACCAGGTTCTGGCATTTATTTCCTGTGGCTCCAATGGTACATGTTGTTCCAGGGCAAGAGAATCAGATGTAGTGTATTATTGATTGTGGTCTTTGTTCGGTTCGTGGTTAACTAAGTCAGACACTATAACTGATTTTTCCTTAAATGTGTCTTTTTAAATTAAAATAAATACCCTCCATTAAACTAAGAATAACTATTAAAGGTTGTCAACAACAACAAACAAACAGGAAAGCTTCATGTAATTCTAAAATACATAATTTACTGTAAGTTGTAAAGAGTCTCGTGAGTGTGTGCATGAATAAATACCCTCCATTAAACTAAGAATAACTATTAAAGGTTGTCAACAACAACAAACAAACAAGAAAGCTTCATGTAATTCTAAAATACATAATTTACTGTAAGTTGTAAAGAATCTCGTGAGTGTGTGCATGTCTGTGTGCATTTAAACAATATGTGATAATTTTTCATTCTTACCAGTTACTGCTTATCCTAACCTTGATATCCTCATTAAAACTGACTAGAATAAAGTCACTTTTGACGATTTCTGGAATAAGATATAGTATTTTTTTTTTAAACCCAAAGAGTTTATTATTGTACATAAAGTCAAATTGGGCCAAACTGATTTCAAAGCTGATTGATCAGTAGTATGATCTTGGCAAATCATCAAGTCATTTCATTTTTCTAAGCCTCAGTTTAACAATTTGTAACATAAGGATGATGGCTCTTATAAGATTATCATAAGGATTAAATGAGAAAATGTACATGAAGTGGCTAGGCCACTACATGGTGCATAGGAAGCATCCAAAAAATGGAACTGCTTTTATTATACAGTTATTGTCATTTTTGTCATTATTATACTATAATAATTCTTATAATCATATCTTTTGGAGACCGCTTTTGAAATTTTAGTAGACATCAAAAGTCTTAATGATTTTCCTAGCTGCTACAGCTTTCATTTATTCAAATTAAAAAATGTGCTTTTGCCATTCTCTCTAGCACTTCTGCCTTCCCTTTGGTTTGATATGCTTTAGCTTCTTTAAAGGCTTTAAGGTTCACTTAAAGGCTGTGTTGTTTCCTTTTCAGCCGAAGGTGGAATCATCCGTGTGCCTTTCTACTAATTCTATATTATTTCCCAACATTAGCCTTACATAGGGGCCTTTCAGTAAAATATACATTTCTTTTTTTAGTGAAGGTGTTTCTTGGATATTTTCTAAAAGTAACTGAAAATTGATTTTTATGAAAAATGAACACTTTGCAGTAATCTATATTTGAAAAGAAATATGAATGTTTTGGTTAGTGCTGGCTATTATAAAACTGTATTTCATTGCTGAAGTAATTTCTTTTGAAACCAGAGTAAATATTATCAATGTCACAAACAAGGGACTGCTGCACTCCTTCGACCTTCCAAAGGCAGTTTGCCTTGAATTCTCACCGAAAAATACTGTCTTGGCAACATGGCAGCCTTACACTAGTAAGTATTTTCCCATTATAAAATATTTTGAGAGGACCAATTAAATTTAGTGAAAAAAAAGGTTTGTAACCATATAAGAAAGTAGTTAATCTTTATGTTAGTAAATAGTGCTTGTGAATATTTATAATCAGTAGTGAACCTTGTACTCTCCAAATACAATATACTGAAAGTAATTTCACAGTATATACCATAGTAAGTTAGTAAAAAGATCCATTATGAGAGAGTTGAAAAGAAAAAGGACAGGGAAGATCTAGAAGTTAAATAACTGCTGCATAGAGAAGATCTCTAAAGATTAAGAATAACTGACTTTTAAAATCAAAACCATTTAAATAATCACTTTAAGTGAAAGGAAGTACAGTAGGCACAATATCTAAGAAGTTTGTGGTATGACAAAGAGTAGGAAATGGTGTGCTATTGTCTAACACATTTGAAGATATCTAATGATAATATATGAACATTTTATGTAGCTGTGCTTTATAGATGAGTAATAAAATATCGAAAACTGATATAGGGGCTTATTTTATGAAACACTTTCTAATAATGTTAATATTGTTTAATAAGTAAACAATAATAGTTCATTGGTGGATTATAAACCTGGGTTTTGTTCTTTCAAGAAACATGGACTAATGAATCTTATTTTTTCAAGGAAATCGAAAATCAGTTAAGAATCAGGAGTGGTTTTCTGTAACTTTTTTCTTTTATCAGTGACTTATAGATGCAAGCTTTCATGATTTAATCCATTTGACAGTAATCTTTGTCAATCTTAATAAATAGGAAATCTCTTAAGTATTCTTAGAATCTGTAGTAGTTAACTCATTTCAGAGATGCTCAGACAGCTATCATCTTGTTAATGGCTTTAGAAATGGATGATTAACTCCATAATTAAGGCTACAGAAAAAAGTTCATTTGAAGCCACTCTTTTACTTGATCTTTATAATCTTGTTCCAATTTCTTCTAAGAATGAAATATTTTTACAAGTGTTAGGAGACAATTACTGCAAAAAATTTTGTTGTTATTGTAGCTTCTAAAGATGGTACAGCTGGGATACCCAACCTACAACTTTATGATGTGAAAACTGGGACATGTTTGAAATCTTTTATCCAGAAAAAAATGCAAAATTGGTAAATAAATGTTTTAAAGTACTTATTATTTATACAGTATTTTAAGTATTGTCATTATATAATAGTTGTTTCTCTGGTATTGATTTTAAAAATAATTTATCAGACCAAAATCTACATATTTAAGAATTTTGTATGTAGGAATGTGTATTATTCCATTTCTGTGCTTATAACAGAATACTTGATTCTGGCTGATTTATAAAGAAAACAATATTTATTGCTTACAGTTTCAGAAGCTGGGAATTCCAAAGTCCAGGGAACACATTTGGTAAAGGCCTTGGTGGTGGAGACAGTGACGGCAGGGTATTACATTGCAAAAATGGTGGAGCAGAGAGAACAAGAGAAAGACAGTTCTTCATGCACTGTCCCTTTAAAGCCCTCAGAACCACTCCTATGAACACTATTTTTAATCCATTCACTACAGCATGTTCCTACAGTCTAATCACCTCTCAGGGCCCCACACTTTCAATTACCATAATAGGATTTCCCAACCTCTTCACAGTCACAGTGGGGTCCAAGTTTCTAATACATAAAACTTAGGGGATACAATTCAAGTTTCAATGAGTTTGGGGGAGGACATAATTCCACTATAGAATGTAACTGAGTAGAAACTTGTTCTGTCTCTTGTTTAGTATTTAAATGGAAAGAACAATATTTTTCTTTTGTATATACTGACTAAAGCTATTAGTAACTTCATATTATATTTGTAAGTATTTTTCCTTGAATAGTAAGCAATATCGCAAACTTTAAAATGTTAATGTAATATTACATTCTGTCTAAATTTTTGTATATTCTTTCTTTTAACATAGGTGTCCATCCTGGTCAGAAGATGAAATTATTTGTGCCCGAAATGTTAACAATGAAGTTCACTTCTTTGAAAACAACAATTTTAGTACGTAAAGATTTATTAAATAATTTTATTATTTACTGTAAATGTACACAGATATCATTACCTTATGTGGCATCATAGGGTTCCTCTAAATACTGCTAATTTATTAATCAAAAATTGCTTTTATATTCATTTACATTACTTTATAAGTCTAAATGTCACTGAAATTCTATAATAGAAAGGTTTTCTTTTATAATAACTTTTTATTATCTGATAATTGCTGTTGAGACATTTGAATACCTCTTCTTGAATTTAATTGCTATTGAAATTCTGTTACATAATGTTTTTAAATGTTTTATTGTGCAGAATTTCAACCACAAAGTAGACACCTAGTCCCAGCTACCATCAGCTCATGTCCAATCCTATGTTAGCCATACATCTATCCAGCTACCATCTCTGTTAGTAAGCTAAGGCAAATCCCAGACATCATATAATTTTACCAGTAAATTTTTTCAGTGTATATATCTGAAGATTAGGTCCCTTAATTTTTTAAACTTAGCCACAATACCAGGATCACAGATCATTAAATATCTGGTCAGCATTTAAATTTCTAAGAATTACAAATGTTATACTTTTTTTAAAACTCAGAGTCCAAATAAGGTACCACACATTGCAGTTGATACAAAATTTTATATCTTTTCAGTTTCTTTTAATCTATAAGTTCCCACTCCATTTCTTTTTTCTCCCTTGTCATATATTATTTAAGAAACAAGGTTATTTGTCTTGCCTATTTTTTCATAGTTTGAATTTTGCTTTTGTGTTCCGTAGTATAATTTAACATGATCATCTGTAGCCTATAAATTGCTAGTTGTGTCTAGAGTTGGTCAGCTGTAGGTTCTTTTTTTGGTGGGTAAAGATAAGACTACATAAGTTGGTGTTCAATTCTTTCACTGAAAAGCATGTAATGTCTGCTTGTCTTTAATTTTATAGGGTTTAGCTGGTCGATTAGCTCAGTTGGTTAGAGTATGGTGCTGGTAACCCCAGTGTCTGGAGTTCAATCCTGTACCAGCTAGGGGAAAAATAAAATAAAATAAAACTATAGGGTTAGCTGACTTTAGTGTTCAATGCCTAGTTGCGTTATTTCATCAGTAGTTGTAAATTGGTGATATTCCAATTTTTCCCCCTCCCTCCTTCTTTATTAGCTGTATGAAGAAAAGTTCCCCATCTGCAATTTGGTTACATAGTGGCATATTTACATAGAAAAGGCAGGGTAAATATTTTTTACCTTTATCACTTTTAATATAATGTGTTCTGTCTCTCGCAACTTCCATTGTAACCAATTAGTTTTTTTCCCCATCCTTAATGAACTATGGATTTAAAATACATGTGTTTCAATCCATTGCAGTTATTTTTCTCACTGATGTTCAAATTGTCTCATCATTGGCCAGTTAGTCTTTAATGACAAGCTGTTCTAGGATTATCTTGCATACTTCCTGCTGTACACCTAGAATTGGCCAATTCTGCAAAAACCCTGGCTCTTTTTCATGGAAAGTGGTATTTAGAGACCACTATCTGGGTTTTAGGGGTTCTCATTATTACTGTGTTGATCATTGTTTCTAGGCCTTTTTTCTTCTTTTTTTAAAGACATAATAATCATGAGTTCATAATGATATTCCCATTTAAATAAAGACTACAGGTTTTTACTTAGCCTCTTCTACCATATTTGTATTGCTTTTGCCAACACCAAGAATCTTGTTTCTCTGGGATATGAGGGGTGATGGTTTGAGAATATCATGTTCACATAAGTACTTACTTACTTTATTCCACATTATGCACACAGGATACATAGAGTAGCAATACCAACAGTAACACCAATAACATGATTACTGAACTTTTGAGTATATTATAGTAGAATAGGAATTAGTAACTCTGATCACATGTACCAAAGATAGCATGCAGACTGATTCTGAGCAGCATTCAATCAGTATAGCCATACACTTCATTTTCCTGCTTTTGAGACTCACTCCAACATCATTGGTTTTGGGTTAGCTTGTTTTCTTGTCTTACCTCTTTGTGAGCATGCCTAAGAAAGGGAGTCACCAATCGGCAGTTTGGTGTGCTACTTTTGAACAGTTATTGATCTCTGAAATTGAACAAAGAAAGAGTAATAACTCTTGGTCCCGTTAACTCAGGTAGCAGTATTGTTAATAGGTGGGTTCTGATTACCTAGCATAGGGTAAGCATTCAGTAAATATCAGCCATTGTTATTATTGTTATTATCATGTAACTATTTATCACATTAGTTACAGAATTTCCATATCCACATTCTACAGTAGCAGGCCGAGGTCAATCTTTCTCATCTAATGGGCTCTAAGACTACTTTATTTCAGAGGTTGAAGAAAAGAGAACTGACATTTATTGAATACCTACCATATGCCTAGCACTATACTCTTAAAATCAGTCACTGGGAGTTAAGCAGTATAATCCCAATATTTGTCCAAGCTCACATAGCTAGTAAATGACTGAGTAGGGAGTCAAGCCCAGGTTTGTCTTGCTCTCACCCCATGCTTTTTCTGTATTGCTCTGCCTCACCTACATGAGACTACAATGAGCAGTATTAGTGTGTGGTTATAGTAAGCTTTTGAAATACATTCAGAGTTTAACATGTTCCTATTAGCTTTTCTCATCAGTTTAACACCATTTGCTCTTTTTTCTAGACACAATTGCAAATAAATTGCATTTGCAAAAAATTAATGATTTTGTGTTATCACCTGGACCCCAACCATACAAGGTATTTGCTATGTTTTTGTTTGTTTATGTGGAATAATCTGTTTTTAAACCTTTTCTTAGTTTTTTATGACTGTAAAAATATGTCCATCTTAGTTTATATGCTTCAAAAAATTAAGTAGTGATTTATGTTTGTGTATCTTAGGTGGCTGTCTATGTTCCAGGAAGTAAAGGTGCACCTTCATTTGTTCGATTGTATCAGTACCCCAACTTTGGTGGACCTCATGCAGCTTTAGCCAATAAAAGTTTCTTTAAGGCTGATAAGGTTACTATGCTCTGGAATAAAAAAGGTACGATAAATATATTTTATCCCTCATTTTGTTTATCAAGTCTTAATTTAGACTTACATTTTTGTTTGTATAAAATGTATCAATGCTTATTTAGTATCTTAAACCTAATTAAAGTTTTTACTGTTACAGCTACTGCTGTATTGGTAATAGCTAGTACAGATGTTGACAAGACAGGAGCTTCTTACTATGGGGAACAAACACTGCACTACATTGCAACAAATGGAGAAAGTGCAGTAGTACAATTACGTGAGTATTCCAGTGGTCTTCCTTTCATACAAACAATGATAGTAAAAAATACTATGCTATAAAGATGATGTAATCTAAATTCTTGATCAAGTGATAGAACTTAGATACCTTAATAACTTTTAAGGTAAAATTCCTCCTAATTAAGAAACTTAAAATCATCCTCAAACATACTCAATTTTGACAATCCAATCAGTTAATTGAGTTATGCCAGCACTTTAATAAGGAACTTCCTGAGAGGTAATTTCATTGTAGTAGCTCTTTTGGGACTTACTTAACTAATTATGACAACAGGTTGATCTAGTGAGTTGAGTACTATTATCTTCAGAGTTGTGAATAATATCTGAGAATGTTACCACTTTATCTGTTGTTTTGATGAGCTAAGTTAACTTTAAAATAATAGTTTTAAAATACTGGCTGCTCCCTAAGTTTTTCATTTTGAATTGAACATATGTAAGTAGGGTAACCTTTACAAAAATCTGTTTTCCCATTGAAGTCAGGAGCAAAACAAAGATGGCTCCCTTTTCCAATATTATTTAACATTCTGAAATATCTAGTCAATATAACTGATCAGAAGAAGAAAGACACATACTATTTTAAAAGGAGAAAACAGAATTATCTCTGCTTATATAGATCCCATATATAGCAACAAAAGTAAGGAATATATAGAACCTATGGGAAGAAAACTTTAAAAGTCTTCAGAGGGACAAACTATGACATTTATTAGTAAGAAGAATTTTATAAATATGTCATTTCTCTTCAAATTAACCTAAAAATTAAATTTAAGTATCAGTTGATTTTTTTCTTTTTACTAGATAAACTTTTGGGTTCTAAAATTGATATTGAAAAATGAAAATGCAAGAATATTTTCAAAACTTTTGCAAAAGAAGAACAGGGCAGGAGAGTACTGATACTACCAGATGTTAAAATGTAAGGCAATTGTAACTAAGACAATTTGGTTCTGGCTTATGGATAGACTGATAAATCAGTGAGACAAAGCAGAGTCCAGAAATAGATCTATGCTTCTATAGCCGTTAATATATTATAAAGTCAGCATTTGAATCAGCGGAAAAAATATTGGTAATTTAATGTGTATTTTGGGGATAACGGGCTAGCCATGTGGAACATAAAGTTAATATCCCTACTTCTTCACCAAAATAAATTCCATTTGGGCCAAAAAATTATACATAAGACTACAGAGGAACTAGAAGAAAATATGGGAGATTTTTTTTCTAATCTTAGAGTAGAAAAAGACTTTATAAATGAAAAATCATAAGGGATAAAAATGATAAATTTGAATATGTATAAAATTATAGATTTCTACATTGGGGGAAGAAAAGATTCCATAAATTAAGCAAAGCAAACAAAAAATAGGGGGGAACATAACAAGGGATGAGTATCAGAAAAGGTGAATTTTCTCAATATATCTAGTAGGCCAAGTAAAATACCAGTAACTGGAGACAAAAATAGGCATGGGACAATAAAAATTATCCTACAGAAAAAGAAATTAGATTACTTATAAATATATTAAAAGGTGCTTAGCTTATAATTACAAAAATAGAAGTGAAAACAAGATATGTCTTCACTTAATAGGTTGGCAAAGATAAAAATAATGAAACTACACAGTATGTATAAAAGTGGGAGGGAAACCTTCACCAAAAACTGTTGAGAAAAGTATAAAGTGGTACAACCTCTTCGAAGGGCATTTTGGTGTATGTTATCAAATAAATGTCTACACCCTTTAACCTAGCAGTTTCACTCCTAGAAACTACACAGTATGTATAAAAGTGGGAGGGAAACCTTCACCAAAAACTGTTGAGAAAAGTGTAAAGTGGTACAACCTCTTCGAAGGGCATTTTGGTGTATGTTATCAAATAAATGTCTACACCCTTTAACCTAGCAGTTTCACTCCTGCAGATATTTTTCTGTACACTCATAGTGGAGAATATGCATCAAGGTTTATGATGGAATACAGTTCATCTGAAACAGAATGAGGTAGATGATAATGTGCTTATGTGGAAAAATCTCCAAGATATAGTCCTAAATGAAATAACAAAAACACGCTGAAAGGATATGCAAGAAATATAACAGAGGGTTGCCTTTGTGTAGAGGGACTTATTTTCTGGTGTGTCTTTTAATACACTTTATATTTTTACTACCATGTGCATATGTTATCCCTTCCAAAAAATTGTTTATTAATAGTAATAAACTATTACTCTAAGCCCACATTGGCTTCTATGAGCCCACATTGCCAAAATGTTTTAAAGAAATTAAGATTCATGGGGCTGTCCAGTTGCTCAGTTGGTTACAAAGCCACCTTGTCACACCAAGGTCAGGGGTTCAGATCTCTGTACTGGCCAGCCTCAAAAAAAAAAAAATTAAGATCCAATAGGGGTTCTTAAATAAATTTATGATTATACATTAATCTCTATAGTATATATCATGTAAGAATATTTTAATTTTAATGCACCTTGAAATTTTGGGAGTTTTTTTTGTTGTTGTTTGTTTTTTTTGTTTGTTTTTTGTTTTTTTACTGCATGACATGTTTATAAGTGCTATATGTTCATAACTGTGCTAATAAATATTGCATTTGTATAATTCTTTATTGCTAATTTGGGTTCTATATTCTTTTTCTAGCAAAAAATGGCCCCATTTATGATGTAGTTTGGAATTCTAGTTCAACTGAGTTTTGTGCTGTTTATGGTTTTATGCCTGCCAAAGCGACAGTTTTCAATTTGAAATGTGATCCTGTGTTTGACTTTGGAACTGGTCCTCGTAATGCAGCGTACTATAGCCCTCATGGACATATATTAGTATTAGCTGGATTTGGAAATCTGAGGGGACAAATGGAAGTGTGGGATGTAAAAAACTACAAACTTATTTCTAAACCAGTTGCTTCTGATTCTACATATTTTGCTTGGTGCCCAGATGGTGAGCATATTTTAACAGCCACGTGTGCTCCCAGGTTACGTGTTAATAATGGGTACAAGATTTGGCATTATACTGGTTCCATCTTGCACAAGTATGATGTGCCATCAAATTCAGAATTATGGCAGGTTTCTTGGCAGCCATTTTTGGATGGAATATTTCCAGCAAAAACAATAACTTACCAAGCAGTTCCAAGTGAATTACCCAGTGAAGAACCTAAAGTTGCAACAGCTTATAGACCCCCAGCTTTAAGAAATAAACCAATCACTAATTCCAAACTGGTAAGTAAGTTTTTACTACTTCAGTTTAGGAAAAGGTTTTACATTGTGCAGAGTCTTTTAGAGATCTTTTTCTCATGTCATTGTGTTACTGATTATAATATACTCTAGGGCAGAAGTCATTGAGGACCTACTGCGAAAGATGGTGAACAGCTTATATTGTTGACAAAGTAATTTTAAACAATTCGCATTTTAAAATTCCTGAGAATGATAACTGAGTATGACATATTGGCTTTGTAGACCAGGGGCTCAAATTCAAATGCCTGTCAGGCCAGGCCAGTAATGTAAGGCAATAGTAAGTGGGATAAAATGATGGGTGAGAGAGCCTGTGCCCTCTTCAAAGGCTATAACAGCTATCCAGTACTAACTGATTTTTTTTCCATAGAAGATATTAGGTCCAATTTGCCAAAAAGTTTGATTTCCAAGACAAAATGAGTCTGGATGCTTTTGTGAAAATTCTCAATTTTTAAAACACAGTTGGTCAAACAAAAACCCATTTTTTTATCCCCAGGCCATTAGTTCCCCACCTTTGTTGTAAGTTTATGAGCTAAATGGCAAAGAAAGCACTATCAGGAAATTACTAGAAACAAAAACAATGTAATAGATAACTTCTCAAAGGAGAAGTGTTACAGGGCAAGAGAGGAAAAGAGTGTTGGAGTTCTTCCCCTGAAGAAAAAAAAATTTTATAAGTAAAAATTTATATATAAACTATACTTAAGGATGTACTTCTTGGCTTTCCAAATAACCTTCACTTTTATAATGTGTTCAACAGTCCCATAATAATTGATATAACTGATGAAACAAATTTTATTAATAAGGATGAAGTTGTGCATAATGGGCACATTTTACTAAAACCAGATAAGCTCATGACTCATAGTAATTGTGTGGACTTTTTTTCTGTTTGAAAGGAAAGATTCTCGGTGGCTACATGGTTCTTACAAGTGTGGAAGAGACTTGTCTACTTATTCTTTCTTCTTGTACAATCTTTAATAAATCTGTCATTTTTTGAAATTTTCATGAACAGAAACTTAGCCAAAGCTACTATAGAAGAGCCCACTATTGAAAGAATTTTTATTGTTTATCATAAAACAAATGTTCAGCAAAGATTGTAAAACTTAACTAATATTGTACGCAATGTGGATAAAAAAGAAATGAAAGAGGCTTGCATTCCAAATTTGTGTGTTCTACAAAAGTGGGTTTTCGTGTATTCAATTTGTTTCAAGCATGGTATGTACACACACAACTTTGAGGATCTGAAATAGTGCATTTGCTAAGAGGCCCAAAACTATAAAACTACTAAAAGAAAATATAGGGGAAGTACTTCAGGAAATAGGACTGGGCAAAGACCCCAAAAGCACAGGCAACAAAAGAAAAAATAAACAAATGGGATTATATCAAACTAAAAAGCTTTTGTACAGCAAATATTCACAAACTATGCATCCAACAAGATATTAATATCCAGAACATACAAGGAACTCAAACAACTTTAACAGTTATAAAAAATAAATAACCCAATTAAAAACTGGGCAAAGAAGCTAAATAGGCATTTCTGAAAGAAAGACATACAAATGGCCAACAGACACATGAAAAAAATGCTCAACATCACTAAGGATCCGGGAAATGCAAATCTAAACCACACTGAGATATCATCTCACCCTAGTTAGACTGGCCAGTATCAAGAGAATAAAATGCTGGCAAGGATGTTGAGAAAGGAGAACCCTCCTGCACTGTTGTGAGATGGTAAATTAGTGCAGCCATTATGGAAAACAGTGTGGAGTTTCCTCAAACAACTACAGATAGAACTGCCATATGATCTAGCAGTCTCACTGCTGGGTGTATACCCAAAGGAATGGAAGTCATCATGTCAAAGGGATATCTGCACTCTCATGTTTATTGCAGCTCTATTTACAACAGCTAAGAGTTGGAACCAACCGAAGTGTCCATTGACAGATGACTGGGCTCCCATGTTTATTGCAGCTCTACTTACAATAGCCAAGAGTTGGAACCAACCTAAATGCCCATCTGTGGATGAGTAGATAAGGAAAATGTGGTATAATTACACAAGGGAATACTACTCTGCTATAAAAAAGAATGAAATTCTTCCATTCACAGCAACATGGATGAACTTAGAGAAAATTATGTTAAGTGAAATAATCCAGGCACAGAAAGATAAATACTGCATGTTCTCACTTATAAATAGGAGCTAATAAAAACAAACAAATATAAAAAAAAAGAGAGAGAGACAACCACCACAATAATTCTTTGAACTTGTTAAGAGAAGTGAATAGAACTGAGATTGCTGTGGATGGTGGGGGAGGCAGGAATTGGTAAAGGGCCATGAAAATCAATCACATTGTATAATGATAAATTTAAAAAACCCAAAAAACTGCTAAACCACCGATTTGAGACTAACGATAATGTTAAGGACACCTCAAGATAGATCAGGGCATTGTTCCTACCTCAAGTGTGCAGAAAACATAAACCTGCAGGAGATGGGACATAACATTCTGTGAGATACCATCTTTGTAGCAGTTTAAACCTTGAACTTCTACAAAATACAGCTTACTCCAATTAGAGTTACATTCTACTGCTCCTGCTGGCTTAACTCCACATAGAATCAAGGCTTTCAATTCAAAGGTGAAATATTTACCTATTTAAATCACCCACTTTGTTCAAGTGTTTCTCAGAATGTTTTAAACATTTACAGAGGAATGACACGACTGACCTGCAAAAAGCCCTGGAATTTGATGGTGGTGTTTCGGAGTTGTTGTCTGTTCACGGTTTTAACAGGAAATTAAATGTAACTAAACACCCTTCCTCATTCTTCAGGTTGGGGATACCCGCCCACCTCTAGGGAATTGGTCCCCCTGTCGTTTCTTAGAGTTACCGTGAACCCGTTGTAGACAGTACCATAAAGTGTATTATCCTAAGGAGGGCCACTGTAGGGTCGCTAGGAATAGAGGCAACTTGAACTTGAGAAGTCAGCCGGGCAGGGAGAGGGAAGCAGAGGGCTGGCACTGCCCGCACACCAAGTTGGGGTCACGGTGTCTGTTCCCGCAGGTTGAGAGTCTGGGAGGAGGAAGCTGGGTTCCAGGGTTCTAGTCGTCGCAGCGAGGGCCGCAGCTGGGGCTGCAGGCTGTGCACGTGACCCAGCGTCCGGCAGCGCAGGTGCTAGAGAGAGAGAAAGGGGGCGGCGCGCAGGCGGGGGACTTCCGCGGAGAGCGGGTGCGGGGCGGGGGTGGGGAGGAGAGTGGAGCGTG